GCGAAGCCTTTGTGCCCTAGTCTCCAGATCTAGCTCGAAATCGAGACTCCTGTGGATCGTGCATGCCTGCTGGTTCTGATGCTAGTGTTAAGGCTCGAGGCTGTTCGTCCTCCCGCTGGTGCCGAAGGTTACCACATCCCCCGCCCCTTCCCCACACAGTCGCGTGAAAACTCCGGGTGGAGGACCAAGTGCTCAGCCATCCAGCCATGCTCAATCTCCGCACAAAGCATGCGGAGCATGACGCTCGGCAAGCACATCGTTCGATGTCCTGGGCTCTGAATCTGTGCACTCAGAATCTTCCTGGCCCAGGGGTTTGGGGTTCGATTATGGCCAGCATCCGGACATGCCTGCAGTCCCAGACATCATGATTGAAAACAAGTCTTGTGTGAACGTACGGGGACATGCGCTCATACAACGATTTGTAGGCCAGCTTACGGGTGTCTGAATGACAGGGCGTCTGAAGTTTGAATGAATCTCGGTATATGCATGTATACATACATACACACATACATACAGACATACATACATACATACGTACATACGTACATACGTACATACGTACATACGTACATACGTACATACATACCTACGTACATGCATATACATATACATATACATATACATATGCATATGCATATGCATATACATGTACATACATTTACATACATGTACATACATACACATACATACGCATACATACACATACACATACATACATACATGCGTGCATGCATGCCTGCATACATACATACATACATACATACATACATACATACATACATACATACATATACGTACATACATACATTTACATACATGCATGCATGCATGCATGCATGCATGCATGCATACATACGCGTTAGTTGAAGCGGCTGCGTTCTGCCGAGTGACTTCCACTCTTGATGATAGGGGTCGGTCTGTACGTCGCGCATTCACAGTTATTTGTTATTCCACTTCACACGAGCGTCGCTTCAAACTTGACTGGAGATTCATGCGGCAAGTAAACAAACAAGCAGGAACACACCTTATCCACCCGCACACAAGCAGACCACCAAGCATACATGCAAATGTGCACACATACAAGTGTGCACACATGAAGGTCTTCCGTCAAGTATGTACCGAGACAGAGAGAAGTGAGAGAGAAGTGAATGAAAGCAAGGGAGAGCCTGAGGGGAAAGTGAGTGGGAAACCGACAGGGGGCGTGTAAGCGGAGACACCTATGAGGACCTAAACCCCTAAACCCTTAACCCACCTAAAACCCTAAATCCAATCGCGAGCGAGTTTTATGTCTCTGAGATTAGGAGACCGCCTTTGCGGTAATCCTCTGGGAGACGATTCGGCCTGGGTCCCGGCAATGTTATAATATATATATATATATATATATATTTATATGTATAATATACATATATATATATATATATACATATTTATATTCATATATCTATATGTATATATAATGTGACGTCATAATATATGACCCTTGGAACATCCAGAGGCCTAGACTCGACTCGGACAGCTCTCAAGCCTGATACTCGTGGTGTTTCTACGGTTTCTCTGGGGAAGCACATCGGTTTTCTTGTGCTCAGACGAGTTGAAGAATATGTGACTTCTGCATGCGTAATTAGGTGAATGGAAGAGTAGGGGGTGTTCCGAACTTCCGAAGAAGCCGGGGGCTGTGGATTGGGGTCCTCCACTAGTGAGGACGTCTCCAGAAATTCAACTAAGTCACGAAGTCTCGAAACATACTGAAAGGGCCCTGTGGTGCGGAATGCTACAGAACGGCTTCAAGGAGTCAGTGCATGTGATAGGCAAGCAACATGAATGGTCAATGGATCATTTCGTCCCCAAATCACGTATTGTGACCACGAGATGCCATCCACTGAGCTTGCTAGCTCAGTTTCTGTGAAGCACAAGTGAAGCGTGTGTGTGTGATGCCGGTGATGTTGAGGGCCGAGGTCGTTGAGTGCCTTCGACCCGTCTTCTGCAGTCTTTTCGCCAGCTCTGAGAATGTATTCCCGATGAAATACATCACCTGACCGCGAAATCAGAGCACCACAACACTTCTCTGACGCCGCCCTCACCCTCATCGAAGCCCTGAAGCTACGCTACTGATGAGGTATATTCTCAGGCGGCCGCACTTGACGGTGTCACGTAGTCGGAAGCTCGGTCCGCTGAAGAGGAGCTGCTACTACTACTACTACTACAACTACTACAACAACAACTACTACTACCACTACTACTACTACTACTACTACTACTACTACTACTACTGCTACTACTGCTACTGCTACGACTACTACTGCTACTACTACTGCTACTGCTACTGCTAGTGCTACTGCTACTGCAGCTGGTGCTAGTGCTACTCCTTCTGCTGCTCCAGCTTGCTGATGCTGATGCTGCTGCTGCTGCTGCTGCTGCTGCCGCTGCTGCTGCTGCTGCTGCTGCTGCAGCACATGCTACGAACTTTATCTTCAGTGCTGCGATGCCACCGCTACCAGCAAGCCCATGCATCTCGAGATTGTGGGGTCGAGCGTATCATGCATGTACTGGCAGCTCGCTGCGTCAGGTGCCAAAGAGCTGGAGCATCCGGTGGTACAGGCGCATCCCGGGCAGCGCTCGAGATATGTCAGCTCGAAGCAGTAAAATTCAATAACATCTCATCCCGAAGCCAGATCGTCTGAGAGGTTTAGGGCAAATCACGACACTATCAGAATTTAATTCGAGCTTGTACTTGTTTGCGTATCCCTCGGCTTAGACCCCAGAGCAGCCTTGTTTTCCACAGTGCATGTCCGGCAGCATGAAAAGACTGTTATGGGTCATCATCGTAGTAAGCGAGATCTTTGCAAGATCCTTCGTAGGATTCGTTTGTAGCAGCGTAGCAGTGGCCATACTAGGGTTGAAATACCATAGCTCGGAAGGGAGATGCCAGTGACTGCCAGTGATGGTCATGGTGATGAGTCTGATCTTGATGACCGTGAACGAGGTTGAGAGTTGTGATTGTAACATGCTACTTGTGACAATGGCAGTCTTGTAGCTGGAGGATGACCATCATTGTGGCCGTAATGATGAGCATGATGCTGAGGATGAGGACGAGGACAGTGTTCATTCGGGGAAGTAGGAATATGCTAGCAGTGAAAGATGATGGCGCCCGTGCTGGCTAGACAGGTTCTGATTTGGCTGTCAGTTTGTTGATGACGATGCAGGCCCTGCTTTCTGCGAACCTCCTCGTTCCTCGCTGGTCGCCCATGCGCCTCATCGTACCAGATAACGAGACGCGGCACTTCTTGCAGGCAGCGGGGGGAGGGGGATGGTTCCAGATGTTTCGTCCTAATTCCTTCACTTCATTGCCACGGTTTCGTGTACAGATGTGTGCTAATAGCTGGCGTGGCAGCCAGGGCCCGCATGGCGTGGACGCAGGGCTCAGCATAGCTCCGGGTTTGGGTCCAAAACCTGGAGCATCCCATACGGGCTTTCGTATCCTATCTGCCGTATCGGACCTTCTATTCGGAAGGCATGTGGAGCCAAGCAACCCGGCAAAGTGTGGCCAGTGGCCGGATAGTCTCCCAAAAGCCGCTGCCGAAAGCAGTTCGACCTAGGTGTCAAGATTTTTGGGCCAGGCCCTTATTACTATTACTATTATTATTATTAATAATAATTATTATTATTATGACTACTATTATTCCTGTTGCAAAAAAAGCAGTTGTTATCATTAGACTTGGCTTTTGTTCGATATGCTTATTAATATGATTAGTATTGCTATTGGCGGATCCGTGAAAAGTTTGCCTCCTTCCGGTTGCTCAGAGTGCGAGTGAGACAGACTACAGGGCTCTGACTAAATTCTAATGATGGCAGTCCGAATCGTCATGGTGGTTTCATTTACCCCGCAAAAGAAAAAACCTGTTGTAATTGTTAAGGCCCCCTCTTTGAATCCCTAAACCCTAAACCCCTAAACCCTAAATCCTAAACCGCTAAACCCCCAAGCCACTGGTTGTGGGCAGGAGTGGATCAACAGCCAGCACGCCAAGCTGTCATGGCCGAGCCGGGCTGAGTACAACATCCAGGCGGAGCCGAACATCGCCCTGGAAACCCGTAGGGTTTGGGGCTTAGGGTGTAGGGTTTAGGGTTTGGGGTTTAGGGTTTAGGGTCTAGGGTTGGAAGCCGGTAGGGTACTACAGGGGCCCAAAAAATAATTACCTCTATACAATATTTTTTTTTGGGGGGGTTCCTTATTATAAATATAGTATAATATCCCCCCAAGTTTGCGTTTCAGATTAGCCAAGGCGAAATTCATCAGCATTCTGCGCAGATGAATAGTATGTTCCGATGAAGTGCAGGTTGCAGCGTCATGCCAATTAACACCAACCAAAAGATAGCACATCAGCAGCTACAGTTCATGGTGCGGAACAAACCATTGTAGAAGTTCACGTATCACAAGACTTGCATAAGAGTTATCGGCAAACTAACTACAACTGTTATTGTAAAGTGCTTCAGCAAGTGCCCGATGGGCGGATGTAGCGTGTTGAAAAATGTTCTGCCGTCTTTTCTGACAGTCATCAGATCTCCGCAACCACATGCGATCCCGTACAGGCAGCATCAGGATAAGCCGACAAGTGAATCTCACGAGCATGTGTCTATTGCTTGGCAGCGGAGGCTTGGCGAGAGCGCGGCAGCATTCTGCACAAGCTCGATGGTTTGTCGAAACGAGATCTCTGCATCGTTTTGCATCTTGGAGCTGGAAGACCGTTTTGCGCCTTGCAATCCGCACCAGGTTAGGTTCGTTGCCCCTGTGCATGCGTAACTCCAAAGTGCTCTTGCGCGCGGTTCAAGCTCACCCAAGTTGTGGCGGCTAGTAGCACAGCAGTCCTGCTGAGCGGACGGTAAAACTCGAAGACGGCGACGTGGTGGACCTCGCACTTGCGGGCCACGTAACAGAGCTCGAAAGTGACAGCTTAACTTCCAAGCAACCCACCGACACTTGACCTGGACCTAGCTTCTGTGCAATGCTGGCCACGGGCTGGTGCATGCATGGTCCGGTTGCTGCTCAGGCTTTTGGATCTCAGGCTTTTGGAGCTCGACCATCCGCCCCAACAGCACCTTGGCGACTGCAGGCTCCCATCGCCCTGTCCGCCTTGGCAGCGGCGGGGAGTCGTGTGCGAACTCGGGGAAGTGAGCGGAGAGCTCTCCGTGGCGACCTCGAGCTGAGCTCGGGTCTGGGATCTTTGGAGGGAGCCCAGGCCCTGGTGACCGGGGGCTCCCGTGGCATCGGCCTGGCCACCGCGCAGCTGCTGCTCTCCCTGGGGGCGGAGGTCACCATCTGCGCGCGGGGGGAGGAAGATCTGGCGAGTGCGCAGAGGCAGATGCCCCGAAGCTGCCAAGCTGTCCCTGCAGATCTCGCAACGAAAGCTGGCATTGAAGCACTGGTAGATCAGCTGGGGCCGGAGCTGGATATCCTGGTAAACAACTGCGGGATCAACATCCGCAAGAGGGCGGAAGACTATACAGAGGCGGACTTTGAAGAGATCTTCAATACCAACTTTATGAGCTGTATGAGGCTCTCAAGAGCAGTGCTGCCGCTGCTGCGAAAGGCGACTCGTTCTTATGGACTTGTCCAGGTATATATATATATATGTATATATGTATGTATATGTACATATTCTTGTTTATCTTTTTGATTGAAATCCTCGTATTTATATGTATATGTGTGTATATATTTGTATTTGCGTATGAAAATGTACAGCATTTGTAGCCTGATGACCTAACGGCCTTATACTCCAACTCACTGTGCCTGCTTCGACGATGTCGTCACAGTGTAGATGTGTTGACGTTGTAATTGGCTTAGGCCTCTTACATTCCGAAAACTCTGAAGCTTGCCCTAAACCCTAAGCCTAAACCCCTAAACCCTAAACCGTCTCGTGAGACCCGCCTCTGAAGGCCAGCGAATCGAGCGGCAGAGCAGGTGGCGCGGCAATAGTGAATCTCACCTGTCAGTGACTGATTCGCCCGAACCTGCCTAAACCCTTGCGGGTAGCTGTAGGGCGCTCGAGTTGTTTAAGGTGTTCTCAGTCCTGCCGGCATGACAGAAAGACAAGAGGAACACACCGGGTAATCGCTATTGATTCGGACTCTCAGCGAGCTACTGGCGACACCGCTTAAAAACAAGCCTCAGCCGTTCAATACCCCAATCAATCCCGGCCCTAAGCCGCTTCAGAACAAGAAGCCCTAGCCCGTGAGTCCCCGTTTGCGTGCGTTGCTGACGTCAAACATCGTTCGGACTTTCGATGCTCCCGAGCTACTAAATTTCAGACCGCACAGGCGGAGCTCGTGAGGTCCAAATGTTCAATGTTCACCCAAAGTGTTGAGATCATGACGATAAGGACTCCCGAAAATGGTACCTCCAATTTTCGGAGGCCAGAAAGAGAACTCAATGTTCAGAGACACAGGTTCAACAGCGCCACTGCCTCAACCTGGATCATTGCATTTTGGAGCTGAGGAACGTCTCTTCGGTTGCTGGAACTGGCCATATCCCTTCAGGACCCTGAGCAGCACGGAGCGGGATGATTATCATGATCAGCAACATTGTGCATTGTGAGAGATTTCATCTCAGTGACTCATGTTCCTGAAGGTCAGGTTGCTCTCAGCTTTGTCACTGTTTCACCATAAGCATAACTGTACTGCCGGCAGTGATGATGAAGGTGACGCCGATGGAGGTGCTGTCTGCGGATACCGTGACGGTCTGGTGATGTCTAAATGTCAGAGGATGCCAAGGGTTGCCAACGATGAGGATGATGATGACGAAGATGGAGAAGATGGAGAAGACGATGATGATGACGCCAGTGAGGGTTTTGGCGATGCTACTGGCTTGGAAGTTTGATGTTGTTCGTTGCCGATTCTCTGCTGTGTAGTACAGTGTACAGCCGTTTGTCGCTGTTCTCGTGGCGTGTTCTTGATGTCCTGCTTGCTGTCCTTGCCGAAGACCCGTTTTGATTTGTTCTAATCAGCACATACACCCGTTTACCCGGCAACCGCAAATGTCATTATGAGTCATGAGTCATTACCCATACTTACTTGATCGAGACCCCTAAATCCTAAACCCCACCTCTCGAGCATGCCTCAGGGATCTCCCAGGCCGCTTCGGAGCCACACAAAACCCGAAGCCTAAACCCTCCGGGCATAGGAATGTCGAGTTATTACCCCGTATAGTACCCTTTGTAGTACAAACCCTCCTGGCATAGAAACGTCCTTCTACCGGCACAAGAGACTCAAACCTTAAAGCCTAAACCCTAAGAGGTCTAAAGCCCCTGAGAGTCGCCTCTGAGGCTTTCCGTATGCAGCATCCAAAGCAGCCACTTGCCCGGTCTTTGAAGGGTTTAGGGTTTAGGGTTTGGGGTTTAGGGTCTAGTTCTAGCTTGGTTGGCACTCCGGGTTACCGGGGATTTCTTCCGGAAATGTAAGACGTCACCGTGCAACTCGGTTTCGGGCCTGTGTTTGGGGTATAGGTTCAGGGATCCTGGCCCAATGTCCGTATATTAACGGTCACTGTTCAATGTCTTAGGTCGGGAGAAGTAACAGTACTAGCAGCAGTCCCCGTAAAGTTTCCTCAGCTTACCTGACACACCCCGAAACCCTATTCTAGTTATTAGGGTCCCTGTATAAGAATGGGCAGGCGCCGTCCATGCCCTGGCTGCCTGCAGGGCGGTTGGACGGTATCCAGTAGATATTGGCATATATTTGTTTGATTCACCCCTATGGCTGTACTGGCAGTGATTTCATATGTGCCCAGGTCTGTGCATGTGTGCGCTCATGCATATATATATATATATATAGATACACACACATGTCAAGTGTCTCTGTGTGTATCGTGTTCTTTGATGTCACTACCTGTATGCAAACTTTGCTATGAGTAGAGATTAAATATCCCCAGCTGTTACACGGTGCCGGCATGATGCGAATCTCTGGCCTAAGTGCCTCACAGTCATGGCCATGCGGGGTGTACCGAATGCTTTTCCCTTGGCACTTGCACTCCTTCTGCCCGAGGCGATGAATCAGATGACCCGGAATCTGGGCTTTCGTTGGCTTTGGGCCGATCCTTCAAGCTAGCCCAATGACAGAAGCGGATTGAGTGTACTCGTATGGCGCAAGGTTTAGGAGTTTAGGATTGATGCTTCAGACTCTCCACAACAAAGCATGGCAGGCGTAGGCGCGACGAGGGATCTGATGCTCTGATGCGAGGAACTTGGCAGTGGAGTGGGCGCGCTTTGGAATCCGTGTGAACGCGGTGGCGCCGGGAGCCATCGCCACTCCCCTCGTGGCGAAGGCAGTGTGCTATCCGTAGCAGAAGCTGTGGAACAGCTGGTGACACTGCCTTCAGAATGTAGTGTGAAAGAGAAGAGCATGTTCAAGCCAATGGCCAAAGCTTGGAAGGCCAATCCCACATACATTGAAGACTTCCGACAACGCAAACCCCTCGGACGCTTGGGCGATGTGATGGAGGCGTCACGGCACCACGTGTTCTGGGGCGCGGGAGAGGGGTTCAGGGCGCAGCATCCGAAGAATTCCGAAACTTGTGTAGCCAAGGTCCAATCTCCTCTGTTTTTCCCTCTTCGCCATTCCTCAAGTATGCGTCAGGCTGTAGAATTCTTCACCTGGATGTAGGTAGAAGGCCTGCAACCCCGAAGGCAGCAACTTCCGCCCCCGGCGCCCGCGACACACCCAACTCATTGAAGATGCCCTAGTATGCTCTCTACGTTCAGTATGAAGAGTACTGTAAGCACAGGCAGTGAGCGTGTTTCAATCTGGCAACCAGCGTGAGGCCATCCCAAAGCAGGGCCAAGCATGCCAGCTCGATCTTGCACTCTTAATTTCAAGCATGGTATGAGTTAGAGAAGCTGCAAGTGGTTCTTCTTGCTGCAGGGTCCTGCGATCAGCTGATGATGAAGATGATTAAGAAGAACACCAATAATACGAATGGTAATTATAGCCATAATAACATAAGATGATGATGATGATGATGATGATGATGATGGTGATGATGATGACGACGGCGCCGACGACGACGAGGAACAGTAAGACTTTGCTTTTGCTGTCGTTGATGATCTTGCTGTTGCTGTGTCTTCGACCTACTGTTGATGCTGTTGCTGTTGGTGGTCGTGGTTGCAGTGGCTTGCTGCTGCTCCGGCTGCTGCAGCTGCAGCAGCTCTCGTTTTCCCTGATTTTTCCGTCGTTTTGCACTTTAGTATGATAATGTGATTGTGGCTCCCACCGGGTGAATCGCCGTTGGATCAACACGAAGCCCATTCTTTGCCAAGGCAGGTTCCGGTCCTCGTCGTCGTCGATGTCGTCGGTGTTGGCTGTCGTTGTTAGCCCTTGTGGTCAATAGCCTTCTGGCAACATGTGATCGCTTTTCTTTTAGTTTGAGAGCCCTGTAAACCCCAAGAAGCAAGACCGCCATTTTCAGGTGGCACGGCCCATCGCGTTCTTGGCCAGTGACGCGGCGGCGTTCATCACTGGGCAGACGCCGCTGGGCTCTCCGTTGACTTCGGGCCGTTCTTCTGTTATTTGAAGGTTCCATTGTTCGAACTGTGCATATGTATATATTATATATGCATGTATGGATTATGCAGTTTTCGACCCTATGAACAGATCAGGGGTTGTGGGTTCCCTACTCTTGAGCTTCCCCTAGCCCTAGCTCTCCTCTCTGAATTCCAAATCCTTGGCCCGGCATCCTGAGATTTAGATCTTCTGCCGGCGATCATTCAGAGCTTCGGCATATCGGAAGCGCAGGACATGTATTCTACACTTGAATTTTCATTCTGCCGTTACACCTAAGAGGTATTGCGTGGTACTCGTATGTAGTGATCATGTTGAGATGGCTGGACTACATTGTGTGCCAGATGTGCGCGTCTCCAGGGGAAAGCTGGGCTCTCTCTGCAAGCGAATTTAACAGATCCGAAGCCGCCGAAATTCGGAACAGCAAGAAAGAAGAAGGTAGTACCAGCCTAACCCTAAACCCTAAACCCTAAACCTGACCACAACTATTTCTAAATGGGCTCGTAGTTCGGTACTGTATTCCCGAATCGCCAGAAAAGACCAATGTCTGCAGGCTACATGTGGACGGCGGCTTCACAGTCACCAGCTTCAACGAAGTTCCGGACTACTGGGACGACTGAGCATGGTTTAGGATCCGCTCCGACGTTTGATAGACATCGTGCCAAACGTCTCAAATGCTCTGGGATTCGGGTTTCGAGGTGGCTGTTGCCGTGCTCCACTTTGTTTCGAGATTCTCGCGGATCCGCGATAACTATGTTCCAATTAGGTAGGGCGGTAGGAACCATGAGGTTCTCCAGACGGCGTTTGCTCCAATGCGCATGACGAGCTCTGGATCATCTCGCTTAGAGTGCGGTCTGAGGTATTTTGGTGACACGGGGCGCGAGGAGCAATACTAGCCTTGCTAGTCCCATATTATACCAATTATACCTATACTATGGTATACCAACCCTCTTATGTAGTCCCTGTTTAGTTACACTATAATATGCCCACTGTATGTGGGGCCTCTTGTGATCTGCAGGTTGTGAAGCGAAACGTGTCTCGCGCGCCGCTTGCGGCTCAAACTTCTTGGATAGCACGGGCTGCGAGAGAACTGGCCGTTTGCCAGCAGCCCATGTAGCGAGCCGAGACCCTAAACCCTAAACCCTAAACCCTAAACCCTAAACCCTAAAGGAGAGCGAGGGAAGGCTAGGGCCAAGGGAGGAGTCGGAGAGCCAACCTTAGCCCCTTTGGTTTGCTATCGGAGGGATTTTTGTTTCGCAAGCAAGGACCACTGACAAAAGAGTGCCCAGCAGCCTCAGGGTTTAGGGTTTAGGGTTTAGGGTTTAGGGTTTAGGGTTTAGGATTTAGGGTTTAGGGTTTAGGGTTTAGGGTTTAGGGACCTGCACTCAAAGCCACCGAAGCCAGCAAGACGCTGCTTTGGCCTGTCTCACTTCCTGGACTCAGGCCCGGTCCAGCGGGGTGGGCTGGGCGGCGAGCCTTTCTTGACTTCCTCTAATCATTCCGTTTCCTTAATCCTATTTGAGGACGTTTTTTCTAAGAAGTCCGAAGCTTTCATTATTTGAGGAGTATCATAGTCCGGTTACTATAAGAACTCAGTATTTGAGATGTATCAGCGTCCGGTTACTATATGAAGTAAGCCAATTTGGGGGTTCCCACGATGATACTACCGGGGGTGCCATAGAAGCACCGCGGGTGGACCCCTGACCCTAAACCCTAAACCCTAAAACCCTAAACCCTA